AGAAGAAGAAGAAGAAGAAGAAGAAGAAGAAGAAGAAGAAGAAGAAGAAGAAGAAGAAGAAGAGTCCTACCTTTTTCTATTACAAAACAAACAACAGATTTGGGAGTATTGGGCTATTCATAAATCTTATTTACTAGACATTCAACTTTTGCCCATTTTAAAATGTTTCTCACAAATGACTTTTTATACCATACATTTTATGGTAAGAAATATCCCCAAATCCTGCTTTGATTTTTTTCCTCCTGAATTGTTAATATTCATTAATAATACCAACCTTCTTCTTTCTCTTCTTAAGTATAAGCCCTTTTAACTCTCCCTCAAAATTATGGTCAATGCCACTCCACACAGCAGCCACCAGATGGTAATGAAGAGCAGTCTGGCTTTTTAGTCTTCGGAGAACCAAATGCATCACTACTCTGTCAGGTTCAGGTTTCACACATTTATGTGGAAAATTATTTCCAAACATTTTGTTGGTTTGACAACACGCTAATGTACATCTGTGATGCTTTCACTATTTAGTTTACGTGCACCTGATTGTATGACAAGTTCTGTACTGAAAATTTGAAAATACAGAACAAACTTTAAAAATGTCTGTCATATGCTTTTCTTTAAAAGTCATTATTTGAATATTTAAAAAACAATATTTGTGTATAGAATTATTAGTGAAAATGCATGCAACTTTCAGACTAATTTAATATTTCCTTCTGATTATGAATATTTTTAAAGTAGGTGTTCTTTCTTATCACCAGTAAAAATAATAAAATAAAAATATCCAAGACAAATACATGTTATAAAAATGTAGGCATTACAAAAGAAATTACATATCTTTAATTTTTAGGCTTCTTTGTCAAATATGCTCCCTCACTATTATTTTTCCCAAAGTTTATCAAGTAAATAGTGGTATTTTTGTAAGGGCTTAGGCCCTTTATTATTTTTAACAGAGATCTGGAAAATTGTCTTATTATAAATGATTTTATTGCATACAATCCATTTCTTCTGTCCCCTAGAGTTTGCAATCTTCAAATTTTCTATAATTAAAATGTAATATTTGTTTGATTAAATATAGGGACAAAATTCAAATACAATGATACATTTAGAATATTAAATATATCTTATGTATCTTTTAACATTTATAAGTGCTCACATATCAGGAGTCCTTAATTGTCTCACAAAATAACTGCCCATCCTAAGAGAAACCATAGGGTATGGTATTATAAGTTTTGTCTTCTATAACAATTTTATATCACTTTTGGAAAAGTGTGTTGGCATTTGAAAGGCAAGAAAAATTTTAACATGGAACTAACACATCAAAAGTATACAAAAAACTGAATGATGTAATGGGCATTTAATTCTTTATTCTTTTATCACTTGTTTTTGGATTCTCCAGAGACATAAATCTAGTTGAATATAGGTTTATTATCTATGTATATATTGAGGCTATACTTAAGGAATTTACTCACATGGTTAAAGAAGCTGACAAATCTAAAGTGTACAAGATTGGCTGGCAGGCTCAAACTCAGGAAAGAATCAGCGTTGCAATTCAAGACCAAAGGCCATCTGGTGACAAACTTTCCTTTTCTGGAGCGTTCAGTTTATCTTAGAAGTTACCCAACTGATTGAATGAGGCACACCGTATTATGAAAGATAATCTACTTTTTTCAAAGTCTACTGATTTAAATGTCAATTTTATCTTAAAAATACTTCCACAGAAATATTTAGAATTATTTTTTACCAGATACTTAGATACTGTGGCTTACCTGACACAAAATTCGCATTACACCATTTTTATAAAATAAAATTTAATTTTTCTCCAAAATATTTCAGGCATATATCAAAGTGCACATCATAGATAGTCTTCAAAGATAGTCACCCAGTCTCCCAATATTCATATCTTTTGCATCCCTTTGTACAGACTAGATTTGATTCTCTAACTTGCTTTGACCAATAGAATGATACTCTATGACTTTCAAGGTGTGGTTTAAAAAGTCTTCACCCTAAGCCTAGTTCTGGAATTGTTTGCTTTGGGGAAGACGGCTGACAATTAAAAAGTCTCACTTCTCCCATAATCATGTCATATTGATATCGTGTATAATGACATATTGTTGCCCTCAGTAGGACCACAGAGAGAGGAGAGAGAAGATCCAGTCAAGACCTCCTGCCCTGCTATTCCATATATCCCTGCTGAGCTGCTGCTGATGTGAAGTAAGAACCTATCATCAGTGCCTGGCTCGGTAAAACCTTCAGATGATTTCTGCCATAGTCACCATCTAAGTGCAATGAGTCAAGGGACCTTCAGGGAGAACCACCACGTGAGTCCAAACTGTGAGAAGTAGGGAAGATCATCGTACCCTGATATTGTAATTCAGAAAGTTTTGTGGTTCTGTGCTGCATAGCAATGGATGATCAGAACAATTACAGAAAAGTAATGCAAAGAACTACTAGATTTGTTAAATTTTAACATTTTGCCATATTACTTCAGAAATATTTTTCAAATAAAATAAGGCATTAGATATATAGCTGAAGTAGCCAGTGTTCCACACCCATATTCTTTCTCATCTTTCTTTTCACAGATAATAGCATCTTGAATTTGGTATTGATCTTTTCAAATAGACTTGTTCATGTTACTAGATTTATACCTATTGCAGTTTATGGTGTTATATTTCATGTTATACATTTTGTATAAATTATATTTTCTTGAAAGTATTATTCTCTCTTGTTTATTTTGTTTACATCACAGAGTTGATATATATACTTTTCTTTGGACATAGTTGAGTGTGCCTCCCAAGAGCTTGTGTGTAGGAAACTCGGTCCCCAGAGTGGTGATGTAAGAGGTGGTGGAACATTAAGAGACTGAACCTAGAACAAGGTATGGGTTATTTGAGGTATCATTCTCCAAGGAGATTAAGGTTAACTCCTGTGGGACCCTAGCTAGTTATTATAAGACAGTTGTTAGAAAAGGGCAAGAGTGGCTTCTCCTCAGTCTTCCTCTGATTTCCTGCCTCCTCGTGGAACCCCCACCATGATGTGATGTAACCCAAGGGAACATCATTAGGGCCAAGTCTGTGTAATTGGGACTTCAGGCCTCTACAACTGTGAGATAAATAAATCCATTTCCTTTATACCTTGCCCAGCCTCGGGTATTTTTTATGCCAATGGAAAAACAACTAATAGAGTATAGCGTTCCATTTGTATCACAATAGAATGTGATTTTCCCCATTAAATGGCATTTAATTCATTTCTAGTTTTCCACTAGGACAAACAATATGACATATTTTTAAGCATCTTCTTATGAATAAGTTTGAAAGTTTTAATGGTGTATAAAATAAGCATGAGATGGCTTAGTTATATGATATCTCTCTTGATAGAAGACACACTGTTGTATTTATCATAGAGCAGGCATGTGGGAACATGTAACAATATGTTTAATATGGCCAACTCTTGGTAATACATAAATTGCTCGTTACTATAGGTACTGAAAAAAATATATTACTTAATAATAGGTAATTTTTTCTCATAAATTTTGAAAGTGAAAATAACATATACAAAATTAATTCAGTGAAGGGAGTACTTATTTTACTAATTACTATTGATTATGGTTCACACTGATTGCCAGTTTGACTGGATTGAGAAATGCCAAGAAAATTAGTAAAGCGCATGTAGACGTGAGTGTTTGCGAGGATATTTTCAGAGAGGATTGGCGTGTGGGGAAGCAAAGCGAAAGGAGTCAGGACTTCCCTGGATATGCTGGGACTGTCCAACGGGCTGAGGGCTGAAGAAGAAAAAGCGAAAGGAAGAGAAAGCCCAGCAGCAGTCTCACGCATACCCCCTTTGTGGCTCTCTCGCTTTCTCTCCATCTTCTTGTCCTTTGCCATCACAGAAGCAGATTTCTTCTACCATGCTTTTCCATCAAAATGTCTCTGCCTTGCCACAGGAGTAACAGCGATGGAGCCAGCTAACTACACACTGAATCCTGGGAAGCTGTGAGCCCAAATACACTCTTCCTCCTTTGGTGGGACTTGCCTACGTATTTTGTCACAGCAGCAAAAAGCTGACCAACCCAGCATTCTGGATGTGTGTTACTGGTTTGTTATTAAATTATTTTATTTTCTATTTAAATTTTCTATTATTAATTTTATTGTTACATATTTGTGTATACAATATAATGACATTCGTCATTGGGAATTTGCACCTTTGCATAACCTATCTTGGTTCTTATTTTTCCCCATTCCCCTGCCCTCCCTTCAACCCCTCCACCCTTCCCTAGTTACAAATATTTTTGTTTCCATTTTTTTTCATTTTCTCACCTTAATTCCATTCCCTTTTCTTTTCCCTAGCCCTCCCACTTTCCCTTCCCCTTTACCCCTGTTTTACTATTTCACATTATCTATTTTACCTTTTAGTCCTTATTTATATTTTCAGTTTCTCACACCAGAGAAACTATTTGGTACTCACATGTATGTGTCCTATTTCACACGTTGAATACTGCCTAAATGTGCATCCATTTATCTATAAATGTCTCTAATTTCTTGTTCTTTGTGGCTGAATAGTACTCATTTTATACTATATCTAGAATATATAAAAAACTTTAAAAAAATTAGACTTCCCATATTTAAAGATCCAATCTAAAAATGGGCACTGAAATGCATGGACATATCTCAGACAAAGAAGTAGAAATAGCAGATAAACATATGAAAAAATGTTCGACATCACTGGTCATTTGAGAGATGCAAATGATAACAACACTGAGATTCCACCTCACCCCAGAAAGAGTGGCTGCTATCAGGAAATCAACCAATAACAAATGCCGACGGGCTGTGAGGAAAGCAGAACCCTTCTCCATTGTTGGTGGGAGTGCAGACTGGTGCAACCACTATGAAAATCAATATAGAGATACCTCAAAGAACTAGGATTGGAAGTCCTATTTGATCCAGCTATTCCTCTGCTAGGTATCTTCCCACAAGAATTAAAAGAATCATACCACAGTGATATGCATGCACCCATGTTCATAGCTACACAGTTTTTGATAACTAAAACTTGGAACCAGCCCAATTGCCCATCAACTGGAGACTGGATAAGGAAAATATGTCACTGATCATTTATAGACACATACAAATAGTTCTGACATTTTTGGAGTAGTACTTCTAAACTTACTCTGAGAGTTCAATCTAGAATTTAAGGACTAACAAATAAATAAAACTTCTCATATTTTAGCCACTTGCAAATGAGCCTTCAAAGTATTTGTTGAATCAATTACTGAAATTGAAGGTGCTTAAGATGTATTCTTTCTACTCATTATAAAGTTAGACTTAAAAAAAAAAGCTAGCACTAGAAAGCTAGTATATCCTATTATAACTTAAGTAAATGTGGGATTATGGAGAACATTAATTAGGGATATATTGTTTTAATGTCCAAGTTGATTATAAACAATTCTATAGAATATTTAATTTATAAGTTAAAATACCTAGTACAATAACTGACTTTCTAAATGTCTAAATGATACTCAGACAAGATGCAAGTATTGCACAAGTTTTATTCTTTTTCCAGTAATCATACTGAAACAACAAAATGTGCATTATCTATATGGCAAAATTGCACTTATTTTAATTCTAATTTATAGAAAATAGTATGAGAATTCCTCAAAAAATTAAAAATTAAGCTAACATACGACCCAAGAGTCTTTCTCCTGGATATATGTCCAAAAAATGAAATAAATAAGTACTTTGTCAAAGTAGCTGCAGTCTCATGCTTATAGAATTATCCACAATACCAAAGATATGAAAAAATCTAAATGTTCATCAGTGGGTCAGTGGATGAACAGAGAAAGAAACTGTGGTATAGGGATATGATGACATATTACTCAGCTTTAAGAAGATACTGTTCTTTGCTATGACATGGGTGAATTTGGAGGACAATATGGCAAGTAAAATAAGCCAAACATAGGAAGACAAACATTAAATGATCTCACGTCTATGTGGAATCCTTTACAAAATATATACATTGTATGTCAGTCAGTTTTTCTGTTGTTGGACCCAATACCTGACACTCTCAACAAAAAGGAAAAAATATTTAATTTGACACATGATTTCAGTCTATGATTGGTTGGTTTCAAGGCAGTCATATCATAGCAGAAGACTGTGGCAGAGCAAAGACATTTAGTTTAGGTGGTCAGGAAGCAGAGCAGAAGAGCAAAATTTCCAGAGCAGAAGGCATGAGACTAGACACAGACCCCAAGACCATCCTGCCGAGACCCATTCAGACATATTTAGAAGTGTGATTCATCAATCCCAGGATGGACCTCAAAGTCAATCGAGGTGAAACTCCACAATAACTACCATAACCCACCTCTTTCCAACTTGCTAACCAAGCATATGTCTTTAAACCATTCTTAATCTCCAAAAAAGTGAATAGTAACTTTATAATTCCATCTAACATAATACAACTATTTCAAAGACAATCAAAAACAATAACCCCTTCCCTAAAGACTCAATGGTTCCAGCAGTTTAGTAAATTCCAAGTCCACATGGCTTCTGAGACTGAAGGCAAACTCTTAGCTATTAAAAATCTGTAAAAAGAAAAAAAATTTACATAATCAGTGTAAACATTTCCATTCCAAAAGGGAGGAAAAGAGGGATATAAAAATTATTTCAACCAAAACATTATTGAAACCAACAAGGCAAACATTAAATCTTTTATCTCCATATCTGGCATCCAGGGGACACAATGTTAAATGTGAGTTCCAAAGCACTTGGGCAGACCCACCGCTATGACCTTGCAGGTTACACCCCAGATGGCCTCTTAACTTGGGCTGGTTCCATTCATGGCCTGTAGCCTGAAGGTTTCCTTGGCAGAGATTCCACATTCCTGCCATTTGAAACTTCCTGGGGTCTCTAGGAGGCTTTTATCAAGCAGGGTACTGGATATTTTTCTTAGATTAAATATTGACAGTTTTACACCCATGAGCCTATGATGGTTGGGATCTTGATGGTTTCTGAGATGCCTTAAAGACATCTCCATTTTTGTTCCTGTACAAAGTACTCAGTTTTTTTTCAGTTGCACAAATCTCTTTAACAGCCACACCTCCTCTGGTTCCAACTTTACATGTAATTCTTTCTGGGCTAAAATTTAAGTTTTTCAAAATTTTCTGCTCTGTCTTTTGCCCTAGTTATCTCTGTAAATCTGGGTTAAAAAGCAATCCACAATATCCTTGCCACAGCCCAAAAGTTAAAATTGAAAATTTAAAGGGATTTATCTTTAAAATTATGGAACTTCTTTTTTCCAAAACTATTTTTAGTTGTTTTCTTTATATGTATGCTATTTAAATGGAAATTGTAGGGAAAATGCTAATCAGTTTTAGAAAGGGTAAGAAAGTACTGAGATTGGAGAAATTATATATGACGTACTATAATAATATAATGTACTCTGAGATTTTATGAGGAGAATCTGTGGGGACAAGTGCTTTCCTGGCATTTGTGGGATACATTAGTACTTCAACTATTTTTCCCAAAAGAGAGAGGTTCAGTTTCATTCGAATTAATACAATGTATTTGGGAGCAAGTGATTCATTGATTTAATTGTTCATTTGGTAAATATTTGTGAAGTGCAATGTACTACACACTGTAAAAAGACATAAATACAGATGAACAAAAATTACCCAGCTTGGGCCTCAAGGAGAGTACAGTTTATGAGAGCAGAATGGTACATGTGGAGTTAGGAATGAAGTCTAATAAATTTCATGAAGGCAGCAATACAGAATGTAGCATATTATGAGAGAGCATAGCTCTTACTGTTAGAGCTATGGGCACTTTTGGCTTCCTTTTTGAAAGAGAACTTCAGCCAGGTGCTGAAAGCAGGCAAAACCCCAAAACTCTTCTGTAAGGTAATGTGTCTATATTACAGGAGCCAACTAGTCATCAAAATCTCAACTAATGAGTAAAGCTCTACACAGAAGATAGTAATTGGTGTCCGTTCTAGGGATCTAATATTATGAAAGTTATTTACATCACTGATCCATCCTATGAAAATTTCCATATGCAATAAGTATTCATGTGAAAGACACGCCACCCACTGAAGCCAATAAGCATGGTTTTAAAAGTTCTGTTGGAGGTATTTACCTTCATTCTATAAAACACTAAATGTAGAGTGTTTAGTCTTCCCTTTGAGTCATATATGGAGATTGCTGCCTCCATTTTAATCTGAGTAATTCTTTCCCACTCTTACATTTGCTTTCCTCCCTCTTCCTCCTTTCCCTGTGGCAATCCACCCTGGTGGCTTCAGAGAATCAGTGGCCTGCATTCTGAAAGAGAAGTGGGTCTCAGGATACTAAAGTGATTTTGACCGGAAGACCAGTGTCTTCACCTCTCTTCTCCCCTCTAGAAAGTGAAGGGCTCACGTGTGCTGGATGGGGTTGGGAGAGTACTGAGATTTGGCATCTTTAATTCAGGCAATAGCTTGTCAAGTGCCTTGACTGCAGCCTCAATTCCTAACAGTGCGGTGACAGCCCTCCTAGGGAGTTGTAACCAAGAGGAGTTTTCTTTCTTTGCAAACCCCCAATCTCTTAGCAACTGAGGTAAAGGGTCTCAGACTTGATTTCCTCTCCTCATCACTGCCTTCCACCCCTAAACCCAGGGATCTTGCCCTACCCGTTCTCCACCACCAGCCCTGACAAGGGGAACAAGCAGGTTCTCACACAACCTAACCAGAGAAGAGCTCCAAGGGTTAGATCCGAAAGGGAGGGGCTCAGGAGGGCGACTGGGAAGCTTAGCGCTGCAGTGGGAGGAGACCTGTTCGGGGTTGGGGGCTGTGATGGGGAGGAGGGGAGAAGGATCCAGGTCCTGGGGCCCGGAGTTACAGGTTGGAACAAACTTGTCCGGCTCTGGGGAGCAGGCGCGCCCAAGTTAACCCCAGCCCCTCGCCGGTGCGGGCAAGAAAGGGTGCAGAGCAGTATACATAGCTCTACATATACGCAGAACGCGAGCGAGAAAAGGAGGGGGCGCGGAGAGGCAGGTTCCGCCTCCCCTGGCCCGCGTGCACACACGCCCACCGCGGCTCGGGCTGGCGGAGCGCGGGCGAGTGTGAGCGCGAGTGTGCGCACGCCGCGGGAGCCACTCTGCCTCACCTCGCACCCTGCTCAGGGCATCTTGAGAGCCTGGAAACGTGAACAGGCATAAAGTATGGCATGTTGCAAAGATGGTTTCTGCCAAGAAGGTACCCGCGATCGCGCTGTGCTCCAGGGTCGGTCTCGCCCTCCTGCACTTCCTGTGCCTGGCGGCTTGGTGAGTTCTCTGGGGTCCTCCGGGGGCAGAGGGAAGGTGAGGCGGCCAGCTCCCCGCCCCCTCGGACCTCCCGTCCCTCTTGGAGCGAGCTAGACCTTTCTGTTTTCACTCCAACATAATGGGCTGAAGCCAATCTTTGCTGTGACCCTGTAGAGCCCTAGGGGCGCAGGATTGAAGAAGCGCGTGGTCCTGGGGTGCTTGCTGCCCTGCTCGGGGATGGGCTTTTCATGACCCATTTTGTTCTTCCGCACCCCCCCCAATGCTGCCTCTAGTTTGGGGCAAAGGACTCTTTCCCTAGAAGGCAAACCTGTTTCCACCTGTTCTCAGCAGCTTTCTTAAAATAATCTTTTCTGCCTGCTTCCGTTTTTCTTGCTCTTGCAGTTTAAACGAATCCCCAGGAGAGAACGAAAAGGAGGAGAAAATGTGCCCGGAAAATTTTACCCGCATCCTGGACAGTTTGCTCGATGGTTATGACAACAGGCTGCGTCCTGGATTTGGGGGTAGGACTGCTTTGAATGCACTAGTGTGTCCCGTCTGTCCCTCTCCGGTCCACCTGTCTGTCTGTAGGAGTATCTTTAGGTGTACCTGGCATGCAGAAATGAACTCTTCCTTGCCGTCTTTCCGCTCTCTGCCTCTTTCTTCTCTGTTGCTGAGACCTGTGACAAGAAGACCGCCCCCACCCGTACTTTCCCATCTCCCTGCCCCCTCCGGAGCTTGCCTCTCCCCCACACTAATTACCTCCCGGGACCTGACTGCAGGCTGGGGGAGGATGGGGAGGAGGCAGAGTGAGAAATGGGAACTGGGTGCTTAGCCCTTGAGGCCCGAGCCCTGAGAACGGAGTTTTCCTTAATCTGGCCCCGCTGCCTAGAGAAGGTTGCACTGGAAGCAGCTGATCTGAAGTCCCCTGTCCTTCCATGTGTCCCATCCAAAGCCCAGAGTGGGACTTGCCAAAAGCTATACCTAGACATGAATCTGGGGCACGAAGCTGCCTGCCCTGCCAGGAAACCCAAACCTTCTCTGTTCCATTCTTTTTCACTTTCTTTGGAGAGGTGGCATTTGTTTCCCTCCCAGGGCTTTGGAGTTGAAAGTGTTCGGCTCCATTTCTTCTTTCAACAAATATTTATAAAGGACCTAATAGAGAACTATTCCTTACCAGCACCGTTGCTCTCTTTGTGTTCATATTTCTTTTGCATGTATAATAGAACGTATGTGGCAAGCTTTGTACTTGGCATTAAGTTCACAAAAATCGTGAGAGACACTTCTTCACCTCAAACAGCCTCTCAGTTCAGTTCAGCAAGGACAAGAGATTTGCTGAGATCCCACTAATGGTTGGTCCGCATGCTTTGATGGTAAAGTCCCTGTTACTCCCCCTGCGCTACTTTTTCTCACTTCCAGCAGATACATTGAGAATAAGACAGACTCTTCACTTGATCTTAGCCAGAAGGCCGAGAAGCCATGAAACATAGACTCTTGAAGGAGCTTGTATTCTTGTAGCATCAGTAGTAGTAACAATAATAACAACCACTAAGATTTTTATTTCCTCAAATTTTCATTTAGACCTGACAACTTAGAGGCATTACTCAAACTCTGACAAGTCCAAAAGAAAGCCATTACATTTTTTATTTTTCAAATGAAGAAATCAAGGCTTGGAAAGTTAAGTAACCTGTTCAAGTTTGAAGTTAGTAAACCTGGCAGAAGCAGGATGTGAACCCAGGTTGGGTTGTGTATTTCAAAGACAGACCGTGTAGATTGGGATGGTATCAGATGTTATGTGATGTGATGGTTGTTATATAATATTAGAATCAAGGAAACATTTAATGCTTCCTATTGAAGGTGTATATAAGGAGAGAGATGTTGGGAGAGTGGAGGAAGTAAATAAATGCATGGGGAGCAAGGCAGCATCTTACCAGGTACAAGGAATAGAGTCCCGGGTTAGAAAGAATCATTGCAGATAAAACAGAGTTGGAGAGAGTAGGACTGATGATTATATGCAGGCTATCTAGTGTCCTTTGTCTCTTTAACAGATGAGGACACTGAGGACAAGTAAGGATTTAGACAGGGACACGTAGTATATTCATGATAGGCTGAGATCTGGTCTTCTGGATTCCAAACCATTTTGTTCTGGATTTTATTGAAAAAGTTATGGAAAGCTACTGAGGTTTTGCGTATTTGCATCTTGACATTGATGAAGCTGGATGAAAAAGCTGGAAGTTTTTCTAGGTTCTCTCCACATTGCCACTCTGGGTTAGGTCGCACATACTGCATTTGGCTTAATGAAAATCCGAGAAGATACCTCATTAGAGAACTGCATCATTTGTCAGTGCCTGATCTTTTCTGGCTGGGAGATTATCATTTGAGATCAAACATAGTTCTATGGAGAATGTTTCAGAAGATATGATACCATTTAACACTATCTCAGTACAAGAGGATTTAACTGCCCAGGGAGATTTTAAGCTTGACATTTCAAGAAAAAAAAATTCTTTCAAAGTATCCACGCCTATGATGTTTAAATATTCATCAAAATATGGATATTTTTGAACATAAATGAAAGGGAAATTATAACTGGAACTATATGGTTTTACTATTAAATGCTGAAAGTTAAAATAATGTCTACCCAGTTGGTTATAAAGCAAATTATAATTCAGAAGGACACAGGGACCCATAGTAGGTAGGCCCTTTTTTACCATGTACTCTCTTCCATTATACAGACAATAAAATGAATGAAAATAATCAGTGTTAACCATTACGGGACTTTGGTTGACTATAGTACAGCTATCTCAAGGGCATTATTATTAGTTATGTCATTATTATTAGTCACGTTACTTGTCATTGCTCACCTAGAGATGCACCAAATAGGGCCAGGGATTTAGTTCAGTGGCACTGTGCCTGCCTCGAAAGTGCAAGGTCCTGAGTTGGATTCCTGGTACCAAATATATATATATATATTAAGAAGAAATAGCATTCATATAGACTTCTATGTGCTACAGGTTTGATCCCTCCTATGACATTTTATTTTTTGCACAAAGTTTGCCATTTTAAAACCGAGATGAAAACAATTCAGATTTTGACTGGTGCATTATAAATATGGATTGACTTCCTGGTTCCTTTAATCCTACTTCTGCTCTTTGTGGAACATTTACTTTTTATCTGTTTGTACAAGTTTGCCTTGTTCCATTTAAAATAAAGCTAAAAGGAAAGATTTGAATTGAAATTGGATAGTTTGTGATTGCTCAGTAGGCCAGGCAGGGGTTGAAATAGATTTGGAAACTAAATTACATATTTTTAACTCAGCAGCACAGCTTGCAATGGGGAAATAAAAGGAGCTGTGATGGTTCTCTCCTTTTCATCCCTCTGGGATGTCCTCTCCCTTGTCTCCACATTCTCCTGTTGGGCAAGGAAAGGAGAAAAGGTGAAAAGAGAGAAGGGGCCTTGTGGAGAGAGGCTGGGATGGGACTTCTGAAGGGAAAAGGTTCTGTGAGCCTCTGATGAATCAGTTTCTATCATGCTCAATGAGTTCCTGTCCTGCTGAAGTAGCTTGCACCTGCTTAGAAGTGGCACAAAAGTGAACCCTTCCAAAAGAAGCTAAATAGTCATCCTTTCTTGCTCTTGCCCACTTTAAATACTGTAATATGCCTTCATAAAAGTGCATAGCTGGATATTAAATACTGGGAGATAGTTTAGGAATCTGGCTATTATACTTTTTCCATTTATTGTATAATTGCATAGCCTTATGTCTTAGTTTCTTTTTTTGTCACTGAGTTACGATACCTTACACCAGAAACTTAAGGATGATTTATTTTGGATCCAAGGTTTGGGAAGTTTTTATAAAGCTGTTTGTGCCATGGGAAAAGGGAGGAGTTGAGGAGGCAGATACACCCTTCAAGGCCAGGCCCCCAGTGACCTCCATGACCAGGCTCACAATTTAACAGCAAGCCAGCTCCAGTACCCCCATAATTCAGTCACCTTCCATGAGCCTCACCTCTGCGTGCATGCGGCTTTGGGCGTACATCTAATTATAAACCATAGAATCTCATGTACACCTCATATTTGGAGGTACGTGATCTGGAATAATAAACACTTCAAATATAGATGGTTGCTTTGGATGAACTTCCACCGCCTTTCTGGAGTGGTAACAGAGCATATGGTAAGGCTACTGACTAACTTAACAGGGCTTCACACTCACTGCAGTTTTGAAAACATTTTCATGTATAATATTTAATAAGATTATTACATAAACACAAAGAGATAAGCAGGGGGCATCATCTCTCTGTTAGTGAAGAGGATGGGAATTGCCCCAGAGCCATACGTTGTGACATCGTAATCCAGTCTTCTAATCTTTAGTCACACAGATGGTCTATTGTTATGCCGCTTCTGAAGTTTTCTTGCATCATCTTGTTTATCATGAGTCTACTTTTTCCTGAATATACCTTTTGTTACTTTTTGTGTGCAGTGCTGAAAATTGAACTCAGGGCCTTGCATATGCTAGGTAAACACTCTATACTGAGCTACAACCCTAGACCTAGGTAAGCCCTTGAAATAAATAAAATTATATTTCCTCAAAAAGAATGCTGTGAAAACTTCATTCCAAATCTATAATAATGTTTAAAATTAAAAGGAAATATGGAAACTTATTTCACTTAGGTTAACTGGGAATATTTTACACAAATCAAGTTGTGCTTGCAATGTTTGCAAATGATCTATTTATATATTTCTGTCTAAACATGAAGTTTCTTGCTATATGCTCTCTTAATTGAATATCAAAAGGGAATACATTTTTTAAATGCATAGATAAATATTTCTAATGCACAGAAAGAAGAAAGATAAAGATTTATTCTCTTCTTTGTCATATTGATTTAGTATTGAGAGGTTACTTTATATGAGAAACTTGGGAGGTTATAAAGATATACACTGATCTAACATAGAACCTTATAGATTTTACAGTTAAGCAGTGCAGAAAGGTAAAGATAACAAAGAAACAAATAAAATAAATAAATAAAAATTCTGTAGGACAATCTGATAGCATCCAAAAGAGAAAATTAGGAGAGAAAAATCAGGCGAGGAATTCATTTCACATGAGAATGAGGGTCAAAGAAATCCTTCAAGTTGAGACCTAAAGATGTCAGGCATAAAAAGAGTAAGAATAAATGTTTTCAGGCAGAAAAAATAAAATGTAAAAAGCAAGTAAAAAAGTGGTGTGGTTTACACAGTGAAGAGGGTTTTTATACATGCAGCCAGAGAACAAAAGCAAGAGCATTACAGAATTAGGCTGAGATGGCAACCAGAGGCAAGATTATCCAAGGTCTTCAGGGATCTCTAGAGGAGCTTAGATTGTTCTGCTAGTGAACTTGGAAACCTTGGAGTTCTTTAAGTGGAGGGATTGATAAACTATGACTTAGACTACAATACGCTTCATCTGAGAATGAAAGAAAGAAAAAGGAAAAAAGCATGGGTCAATATTGGAAACAAGAGGGCTAGTGGAGAAATTTTGTTTCCGTTTATT